CCCGGGCTCCCGCCAGCTCCCCGCTACCTGTTACCCCACCTCCCTTCTGCGGACGGGTGGCCTCGCTCCCTTCGCCTGGGATGGGCCAGGGTGTGGGCCCATCTGCTACAGCTGCGGCCGATAAGCCAGCCCAAGGGGCGGCGGCTTTGGGGCTGGGCAGGGAACATTCCCCACTTTCCAGGGGACACGGGCTCAGGAAGGTGCCAGACCACTGTCTGGGGGCTGCAGCCCAGGCCTCTGGCGCCCGCTTCCCTTCAGAGCAGCCTGGGCGCCCCCACCCCGGGCACCTCAAGGGTCCCCAACACCTGCCCACTGCATAGCCTCCCAGGGGCCAGCTGTGCAGAGTGAGGGCCCTCGACCCTCGCCCAGGGGGCCTGGCCCCACCCCTCTCCCGGTGACGGTCTCAGGTCAGGCCCCAGCAGGCCTGGACGAGGGGTGTGGAGCCGGAGCCACCCAATCCTGGAGGGACAGGTTTCACAATTTCCCGGACGGGGCTGCGCTGGGTCACAGTGCAGCCTCCAGCTGGGAGGATGGGGTGGCTGCCACTCCTGCTCCTTCTGCTGCAGTGCCCATGGGCTCCTGGTGAGTGTGCCCACCCCCACCCCATCCCCATCTGCCTTCGGGACGAGGTCAGCCCCAGGCCCGTCCTGCTATTCCAGCCAGAAGCTCACTTTCCTGCTGGGCACGGAGCACCGAGCGACCGTGGCTTCTGGCAAGAGCGGGGCGGCCCGGGGAATAGGGTACAGACCGCCTGGTCTAGCCGGCAGACGTCTGCTGGGCATCGAGGCGGTGCTGGGACGGCGCAGATGCACGCATGCGGGCAGTCATCCCTCCCCAGCCTGACCTACCCTAGCACATGCCCTCGCGCTGGTGAGCGACCAGCCTTGGAGTCCGAATGCCCAGCTAGTGTGGTTGCGCCTCTGCCTGGCCAGTGTGACGGCTCTGGGCCTGGCACCCTCAGCTGAGCGATGAGGTGAAACAAGTTCCGTAGGGCAGACACCCTCCCCACGGCTCTCCTGGAATGCATGGCTCAGGTCTGGGCCTGGTGCCTTGCCCACACAACAGTGATAACGCCCATGTCTGGGGCCTGCTTCTCCCGCCCTGAACAGGAGTCTGACCCTTGAATGTGTCCACAGAGTGCGGCCTGGAGCCTGGAACCTGGAGCTTTTGTTGTTGTTGTTGTTAACCCGCATCAGAGGATATTTTTTCCATTGCTTTTCAGAGTGTGGAAGGGAGGGAAGGAGGGGGGAGAGAGAGAAGCATCGGTGTGAGAGAGACACATCAACTGGTTGCTTCCTGCAGGAGCCCTGACCAGGGGGTGGGGACCGAAACCCAAAACTCATGTACGTGCCCTTGACCGGGAATTGAACCCGCAACCCTTTCGTGCGCAGGCGGACGCTCTAACCACTGAGCATGTTGGCCAGGGTGAACTTTGTAGCCCTGATTCCCTGAATGAACAAAGCCTAGGTGTGTTGATATGCATGACTGACGTGCACCCCACCCTGCAGGGCAGCGCTCGCCTTTAAACGACTTCCAGGCGCTCCGGGGCACAGAGCTGCAGTACCTGCTGCACGCGGCGGGGCCCGGGCCGTGGCAGGAGGACGTGGTGGGTGCCGAGGAGTGTGCAGGGCGCTGCGAGCGCCTGCTGGACTGCAGGTGGGTGGCGACGGGGCCTAGAGGAGACTGAGGCAGCAGCACGGGGCCCCCGTGACCCTGTGCCTCCTTCCAGGGCTTTCCACTACAACATGAGCAGCCACGGCTGCCAGCTGCTGCCGTGGACCCAGGACTCGCCCAACACACGGCTGCAGCGTTCAGGGCGCTGCGACCTGTACCAGAAGAAGGGTGCGTGGCTGAGGAGAAGGGTGGCCTGGGACAGGGGTGCTGGGCCCCAGGCCTTGTTGACGTGGGTCTCTCACTCCCAGACTATGTGCGGGACTGTATCATGGACAATGGGGTCAAGTACCGGGGCACCAAGGCCATCACCAGGAGTGGCCTAACCTGCCAGCGCTGGAGCCACAGGCACCCCAATGACCACAAGTGAGCCAGACCCGTCCTCTCTGTCCCTCGGGTGGGCACCGGCCCCCGCCCCCCGCACGCTCTGTAGTGCAGCTCTCTGCGCCCAGGTACATGCCCACACCCAAGAATGGCTTGGAGGAGAATTTCTGCCGCAACCCCGACGGCGACCCCAGAGGCCCGTGGTGCTACACGACAGACCCCGCCGTGCGCTTTCAGAGCTGCGGCATCAAGTCCTGCCGGGAGGGTAGGCGTCTCCGGGTCGAGCCCGGGCGGGAGGACCAGCCCACACCCGCTCATAAACCCACTGCCCTGTGTCTCCAGCCGCTTGCGTTTCGTGCAACGGTGAGAATTACCGCGGCGCAGTGGACCGCACCGAGTCGGGCCGCGAGTGTCAGCGCTGGGACCTGCAGCGCCCGCACCCGCACCCC